AAGACATCCAACTAAGCCTTTTGAATTTGAATGCAATATTTAGAATAAATGTCTAACTGTAGAAAACTAACTCTATTTCTGCTGTAGCACTATTCGGTCCTGATTTATAGTATTTGCTTGGCAGATACAAAGAGGTGCTATGAATTTTCTATGTATTACTCATATATATTGAGATTAGATTTCACATACAATGGACTGGACTATGGGCCGCTTGCTCTTCATGGCTCTATTTGCAGCCTTTTGCAGAAAGGAAGAGCACATGGATCCAATGATAAACATCTTTTCATTGCAGTTCTTCCTAAGAATTAATTTGGCATAAATAGGCATATAGTTTAGGGTCTGCTATAATATTTGCTACTTGGCCACAGTTCCTAAGGCAATACTTGAGCACATGCCAGCTAGGGCATCTCTTCCCCACTGAAACTCTAGGTCAGAGTGGTGAAAGGCAGCAGTGCTGAGGAGACAAGAGGAGGGTACATTGCTTGCTACTAGGATGTATTCCTGGTAATTAGGTTCACTTAAATCTGGGCATATTAAAATAATACACAGAGAACAAAACCATATTAGCTCTCAAAGATTTTTAGAAGGAATAAACCACACTGATGTTAATCCTGAAAAGACTATAAGCTACGTAAAGGCTTACACTTATTAACAGCTACCAAGAGATGACAAAATAGTATTTCGCCAGTAATACATACAGGCACTCAAGTTCTTAAAAAGAAAAAAAAAAAAAAAGGAAAGGGACATTTAAGCTGATTGGCCTGGGTAGCTAAACACCCATAAAAATAGTCTGTCCAGGTGCCAGCCTCAGCCCAGCCTCTTCTGAAGGTTCAGAGGGAAAATGCTTTTCAATGTATTCAGGGTATTTATTTCAATGATCGGCTTGGTCAAAGCAAGGACAGCTGTTGGAAGTTGGAATAAAAGCTTTTATTTCATGTCAGGATCAAAAATGAATACAAATGGAGGGTATGACTAAATACACGGAAATCGATAGAATTGCCTGCATAAATGCCCATTAATATTGGGAATCTTCCTATGTAATACAAAGAATCCCCATATTTACTGCACAGACCACATTTAGCTGCTAGTCAGTTGTGCTGAGGGTTAAACAACCATTTTTTTCTTTATAAAGTAAGTAAAAACTACAAATCCAAACCAAGATTGAAATGAATTTAGATAAAAGTTTCATACTCATATAAATCTGTATGTGAAATCACTACCACTTAGAACGAAATGAATATCTCACAGGGGAGCTGCAGATAATTCCTGCCCTCTTTCTGAAGCAGAAGGGATTGTAAACCTGAATGAAGTATCATAATTCATAGACAACCTTTGTGAACTGAACAGCATTGCTGAGCTGCATTGTGCCCCTATCAATGAATTAGTCAGATTATGTCTCTACAGCCAGTTTGGAGAGATTAAACTGCAAACAGTTTTTGAAATCTTCCAGTATCGCAAATCAATTAAATGAAATTAAACAAAAACATCACATCACAGTGACTTCGGAGTTTAAGTTCCTTTAATTTGCTGTAAGACCTAAGCTTCTAAGTCACACAGAGATTTTGGGTAAGGGATACCTATAAAACTATCTAACCACAGTTTACCAAAATCAGACAAATAAAAATAATCTCTTTATAGCTCACATTCCTACATATCATCTGCCAGATGTCAGATTCATTAAAAATGCAATTGAATATAATGTAAATAATTAAAATGCCATTTTAAAACATGCATAATTGTTTGCCAGAGGCCCTCGCTCAGAAGTAGTATTTTCCACTTGTTGATGAGCTCAGGCTGAACAGTTCCAGTGCTTGAGCCAAGGTTTGCTTTAGTCACAGCCTGATGTTGCAATTAAGTTTAAGACCTGGGAGTTTATTGCTCAGATGGGTGATCTGGTTTTGTTACAAGCAGTCTAATGAATTTGACGATTAGTCTGTCGTCTTTTATTGTCTATTTCCAAAGTAATTTGTGTTCAGCTTTTGACTGCTAATAAAATTTATGGAAAAGTTCAAAATGCTGGAGATAAACGCTATTTTTTTGGAACGGTAGTAACCGTTAAATAGGATATACACGCTGACTAGCACGATTAAGGTTTTACCAATAGGAGCCATGAAGAAGTGCTAGGAAAGGTAGTACTCCCAATCTCCTTCGATCTATCTCTTGCTTTTGGCATGTACTTTTGTAACTGGTCTCTCTGTCTACATAATGTAAATGTATGTGTTAAAAATCAAGCATGTATTTAAATCCAATTGACCACAATTACAGATTTAGTATATTTCTAAATAGGAGTTCAGAAGGCTACTGAGCCACAGCGACTGGTTCCTTCTATGGGGACTGAAGATAACATCCAGGCTAAAGCTTTGCACATCAAAGAGGTGCAATGGTATAGCAGCTATTTATTAGCAGCAGGAACACTCAAGAGACATGGAGAGAAGGGGACTGAAGGAAGCCGCAAGGTGACCCGCCGCTGAGTACTTGGCAGTGCTGTGCCAGATCTCCTGCAGAGCCTGGGCCTTGCTCCTCCTTTCTGCAAGGCAGAGAAACTCCACGGAGAGGCACAAAGGCTGGATGCAAGAGAAAGCAGAGCCCTTTCCAAACGTCTGTCTGCTGCGTTTCCAGCACCTTCTCCAAAGCAGGAGAGAATAACAAAAAGACACATTCTAAACTTAAAAAACCAGAGAATTCTTGTCTTTTTGACAAACTTCTAAGATTTATTTTTCCGCTCCATTTGTGTCAGCTACATAATTTTCACCTCTTGATAATGGCTTTCCCTTGGTGACAGTAAGTGCTGTTGAGTATATAGGTAGCATTCAGTTTGAGATCACATTTGATTGCTAACATTTTCCCACCTCTACTGCAACGCTGAACTTTTGAGTTTTGCAAAAAGAAAAGACACTTAGTATCAAGAGAAAATAAAACTAGTGGGGAAAGCATTCACTAATCTAGATAAAATCCTATCACCTTCACTACCACTTAGCAGTACTGTATCTTGAGAGTAGGTATTATTTACTGTGAATAATGACAACAGAATCTCAGCTTGATTTCAGAAGTTATTTCTGTATGATTTATCCAAACGATAAATTCCCTAATGACAGATACTGGATCCACTTTAAACCAACATTATTTCATCTATAATTACCATCTCAGGAATACCCTGCTAAGTGTCATATATCATGGTCAGTGACTTTTGAATTCCTGCTACAACCATGGTATCTCCCATTTAGTTTGTTTGTCTTTGAGAGAACACTATGTTCCTAATTTGGCATAGCCCTAAAAAAAGGAGAACAAAACCAGTCATCCCCTAGAAATATATTCAAATGTTCTCTATATGCTTCAGTATATAAAGCAGAGAAAGCCCATTCATTTCCTTGTAGTAATTTCTAACACAATGCATTACATCTTCCACCTGAAGTTTGTCTTCAGTTCATTAGTGCTTCCCCTGCTCCTTTCTCTCTATTCTTGTGAGCTGAGAACACACTATCCATCACATGTCTTGTAAAGTTTGGGAAAGAATATAGATGCTCTGGCTCTTAGAGCTACACTTCAGTCAAAAATCCCACACTTCCTCATTAGGAGAATCTAACCTTTCATTACAAAACAATTAGGAAGTAAATGTGCTTAAGAACATTCATTTGCAAGTGGTTCAGTATTAGGGAAACTGTTAGTGATGTGTCCTAGTCCAGTGTCTGTTTTAGACAAGAAAAAGTTAGACTTGGTTGAGGTAAAGACCACGGCAATATTGGGATGTTTTTTTTTTTATTATGGCTTTTGCTTTGCAGTGGAAAACTCTAGCAGCAGGTATAAATGAATTAAAAAAAAAGAAAAAAAGATAACTGGTTACTTTTAAGAGGCTTTGTTTCCCCCTACTTTCTGAAGTTCCTCTTGTTATTGTTCATCAAAAGTGGCAAATAAAACTTCAGGCTTCCTTTCAGCAGGTTTCCATTTCTCTGTGTATTTCAAATATAGCTCCTTCCTTGTGCCAAGATTATAAGTAAATAAAAGCAAAACACTCTTCCCTTGTTACTTGCTAATTCAAAATTGGTAATTACATCATCTGTGCGTTAGTGACAGCTTTAGAAGTTTGCGGTTCTAGAGCAGCACTGGAAATATCCTCATTCTCAATGGTGGGTAGAGAAACTCTCTTTTAAACAGAAGGTACATGAAATAAAATTCTCCTGGAAAGACTTCTCCTTCTAAAGCAGCCTATTATTTAATTTGGTCTCAGCTAACCAGCAATTTAGACAGTAATGTGCACCCAAATTCCAGACAGAGCAGAGAACAGAAGCCCCACCAGGTCTATGCAACACAGCTCTACCACAGAGACACAGCCCCAAAGTCATGCCCTCAGAGACAGCTACATTGTGGTGGGCAATGTAGGAAAAACCACGAGTACTATTTGTAGGCACTGAGCATGCTGGAGGTACCTGCCTCCACTTGCCCAAATGCAAGACTGTCATTTTGCTTGCCCGTGTACGTGCAAATGCAGAGCACTCCCAACTCTGTGCACTGAAGCAATCACACCTGAGCCCTTCAAAAGCAGAAACAATTATCCTAGCACCCCAGCCAGCAGTCAGCATGGTCACCTGGGGTGAGTTTCCTCAATTACATATTATCAGCAACATTGCAGGGAAACGCTCACGTTTTGTGAGATTAAACAGACAATAGGAACTGTAGTCAGGTTTTTTTTCTCTCGCCTGAATAGTCTGTATTTATCTCCAGGCAACAGGAGAGAAGGAAAGCACAGAGAGCTTGCACTGTCATCTGACTGCTTAACTCTTCAGACCTTGGAAGGCAATGCATAATGAAATTCCTTTTTTTAAGCTAGAATGAGTTCTGATATACTCAGTCATGCCTCAACTTTCAGAGAACACAAACCACATTTTTCAGACAGTGAACAAGAGCCCTCACCTTCTCAACCAAAAGATCACCAATGGAAAATGAGTTTATTTTCTGCCTTTACAAGCTGACAAAATCTACAAGCAGATTTTCATGCACGTTACCTGATAGTCCACCGACATCCATCTTCTTCAGGTTCTTCGCCTCCAGAATGACGACAGTCAGTTTGCCAGCAGTAGGCACATAACGGAGGGAGAAGCAGATATCACCCAGTTTTTCTTGCTGTGAAAGCAAACAAGGCACTGTGTTATAACTTAGCAATTTTTTTTACATTTTAGAAGTGCAATTTTGGAAGTTCCACAGAAAATTAACAGGATTACATCTCAAACTCCTACTGTTAAACAAAACATTTTAATAAACAATATGAGATATCTGCCACAAGTTGCTTAGCTAAAATCCTTGATAACCTTAAGTCTGTTCCAGTAACTGGAGTCCACAGCAACTGTATGGAACAAAAAAACAAGGTATGTGCTGACTGTACAGTAAACTATACGACCCAGCATTTCACCCTTGACTATCAGAGCCCCAGAAATACTGGTTGCCCTTAAACAAAGAAATGATGTTTTTTTTCAGGTTGTGTTTCAGTCAAAATCAATTAGGCTTACACAACTACTAGACTTTTTCTCCGTGAAACTGTAACACACTTTGTCACAGAAGCACAAAGTCTAAAACCCACAAAGCACAAACCATTCAGTATAAAAAAAAAAATTTGCCTCCTACCTAACAAGAAAAAATAATAATAAATGACAAAAGAAAAGGCAATTATAGACCAGGAAAGCACACAGTGTTTCCTCCTCACATCAAGAATGGTTGGAAGGATTTGGTTTTGTTTTTAGCCCTGCATCCTCTCATCTGGCATCCTGCCAAATGCAGCCTTCTGCTATTCATTGCTTAGTACCTTCCTAAGAGTCTTGGCAAAGAGGGAAAGGCTGAATTACAGGAGTTCAGAATTACAGGAACTTTATTTTAAAAGGAGGAATAGTCAACTAGAACTAGCAGATACAAGAGACAAAGAGGAGAATACTGCTAAGAAACGGTCACTAGGATGATCCAAGCTGCTTTCCTCCCTCCTTTCAGGCACAAAGGTATCTTCTCTAGGGGAGTAACACTTGCTCTTGAGACAAGCAGCATCAGGTTACACTGGACAGTCCCATCAAGCATTTCAGACAGCAATTTTTCTCTTTCAAAGACAGCAGTTCTTATGGCATATGTGTGTTTCCACAATTTATCCTGGCAGCAAAGTATAAAGTACAGTGCTATGAAGATATATTTCTGCGGATCCAGTGTCTTGTTAGAAAACACTGGAAGGTTGGTTGTAAAAACATTTTAGGGGGTGTACCCAAGCTGTTTGTTAAGACGTTAATTATTTTTTTTCCCGAGTTATGTAACATAACTTTTCCCCATACCACAAACAGAACATGGCAATCTACCAGGTTCAAAGAGCCAAAGGTAAAGAGGCAAAGTCAGAACATTAACTAAAGAGCTTGGGGAATACTACTAAGAGCAACTGGCTCACATATTCATGGATGTAGCAACTATTTCCTAGAGAAAAGACACTCCATGTCCTAAGGTCTTTACCATCCATGTGAAAGGAAACAAATATTCCTTTTCAACTTGGAGCTCAAGCTTTCAAGCCATTTAAGAGAAACTGAACTTTGTCCACTAGGCCAAATTTTCAGCATCACTGGCAGCTGTTCTCTCAATAACTCTTAGAGACAATCACTTCTGATCCAGGTTTGGATAAACATCCGCAGTACATCCATCTGAAGGATTCACGACAGATACTCAGCTATACTTTAGAGTTTACATCTCCCTCCTTTATCAAAAGGTGTGTGGGCTTGTCTCGGAATTCTTCCTTGGGGATGGAGGATTCTTTGTTGCTCCCAACAATGGACTGGAGCAGTATGTATTAAGAATGGTATCATGTAGTTATTCTTCCTTTTAATTTTTTAAAAAATAGGAAAATGCAACAATAACGCAACACATATAAAGTGACAGTCTCTGAACTGATTATTACAAGTTGGGAACAAGACCCAGGGATTGTCATAGATCCCTGCAAAACATCAGCTCCATGACTGACAGTGGTCAGGAAACATAGAGAACAGAGTTATGTATAGTGAGGAAATGCTCAGACAGATCATTTACAAAATAGCTCATGATGTTAAATGTGTGTATCACCTACAAAAACGCTGTCAAAATGCACTTGTAACCAGTATCTTGGAAACTTACTGTGTCCTCCCCACCTCAAAAAGGATATGGTAGAACTGGGAAAGATTACAAGAAAAGTAGGAGAAATGATCAAAGATACGACACAGCTTCTGCTGAAGGGAACGGCTAAGTAGATTAGGACTCTTCAGGCTGCAAAGGGGGCTGTTGGAGAGCAGTATCTTAGAGGCATCTGTCTCACCTAGGAGAGCCATAATGATGTTATAACCTTGCTCAAAAGAACAGATCCCAACAACAGAAAATTTACATTTTTAACTCATATCTAGAATAACCTAAGATGCCTTTAACAGCATGGACTGCACTGCTGTAGAAGAACTTATATTCCTCCCTGCCTGCATATACTGTTATAAATCCCAGCATAGATTCAGATAATGGAAATACAGATCTCAGCATAGTTCATGCTTGACTCTAACTAAGCCTGCAAAGGCACAGTGACAGCAAAACACACTCCTAGTTCCCCTGACATTTGGGTTTAGAAGTCCATGTTGGCTAGGCTAATGGTGAAGTTGATCTATCACTTGCAACTTACTCAGAATGGAAGAAATCAATTCCTTATCGGCTTTTGTTATCGTGATCACAGCTCACCTAGCCATCCTGTATTCTCCACAGATTCTGTTCTATTATTTGGTAGACTTGGTTTAAATTAGCCTGGTTGATTCATGGGGCTCTGAATAAGACTGAAAGCTCTTTTCAGCCACCCATCTTAGAGACCTTCATATTCAGCTATCACTCGATATTCTGGGGCTCTGCCCTCATTTCTAGGTTCACAAGACAGAGCTTTGGTGGTAGCAGCACGGGAACTTATGTTCCCTTGTATTCCTCAGAAACCTACCTTGATGACAGAATATCTAAACGTCTATTTTGGAAAGTACTTTTAAATCAATACCATGCTTCGGATATCATTCTCCTTTGAGTGCTGGGTTTTGTTAATTTATTTTTTTTTTTAGTTCTCATTTGTTTGATTTTTTTATCCTTTTTTTTATTTGTATTTTTTTTCTACTTGTGTTGAGGCTAGAGTGTATTTAGTAAGCATACAGTGGTGTTAGGATTGTTGTTGCTTCTGATCAGAGCACTTCAGCAGAGGCTGGGAGTGGTATTTTACAAACATAGTTATTGCCACGGAGACCATCACCTCTCACCAGCCTTTCTCCATCTGTAATCACGTTATGCTTCCGTGCAAATAGCGCAATTGTCTACACAGAAGAGTAATCTTATGAGAGCATTTAATGCATTTTCAGCCTCTTTTAATGTAATTTTAGCTACAGGAAGCACGGAGAAGAAGTCAACATCGTGTAAACAGCCTGTTTTCCATACATCACTAGCAAGCCATAGGAAATAGCAGCAGATGATGGGCTCATTCCAGTGAATATAATAAAAAAAAGCAGAGGTACCTCTTTAAATGCCTACAGAATCACATTTAGTACTTTTCTCTTGTTATTACAATCTGTATTAACTCCATTTCTTCAGCCTTTCTTGCACTTTTAACATTTTCTCTTTGCATGGCTGCCACAAGTTTTCTATTCTTAAGCTTTTTTTTTTTTTTAATTTCAAAAATATTTGTCAGGCAAAATACTGCAACTGTCAGCACTGCAATGAAGCAACAAAAAGCAATCACTAGAGGTGTGGTTTGCAGGAGATAATTACAAACCCCTGCAGGGCCACAAGGTACAGATGAGTGTTTCTGGTATGGTGATTATCTCAGGGAGGTGCCTTATTGTTATTATGAATTTCTTTCAGCCCTATGTATAAATAATTTATACTAGTAAATTACTTTGATCTCTGACGGAAACTCTAAGTTAGTCTTAGAAACTTCCAACTGGGAGGTTCAGAGACATTGACCTATTCATGTATAATGCCTGAACACCAATCAAGAGACTCTCTCCATCTAAGCAACTTCATAACTTCATTACATTAAAGAGGATGCAATGGAGCAGAACATAAATGACATAGACAGTGCTACTAACACTTCCTCAGCTTAGAAAAGGCTATTTGAAGTCCTATTGAGAACCTGGGCTTTTTAGAGATGACTCTAAGTGGCTCCTGCCTGTCTCATGTTTCTTCTCCTATTTGTCAGTAATCATTTTTGCCTTGACAGTACAGTCTCCTAATGAGCTACAGAGAAAATGTTATTTATGCAGATTAGTCTCATTCGCACTGCAGAATCTGTAACACAGATATATATCTTCTTGATACAAACATTCTCCACATTTTTGTGGAATATATTACAAGAAAGTTGATGCTTGCAGCTTTCTTGGTAAAACAACACCAAAATAATGAGCCACAGCACCTTACGCTTTTTTTCCTAATTGGATCTAAGATCGAAAATAATCCAAACACAGTGAGGTGGGTTTCCAACTTCAATACCTGGTTTTGATTGTGGATATTTGCATAAGCCTAAGAGAAATACGATAGGACATGGTTTACGGGCAAAGACCCAAACCACAATCTTCCCCCAATCAGTATATACATTGGAAGCTCATAATGTTCCTTGTATAGTTTTTGCACCAACCAAAATGTTTTAAAACTGTGGAGTAAACAGGGAGAGCAGATAGGTGGGTTACAAGCTAAATTAGAGCCTTTCAAATTCAGGGAATGCAGGTAATCCCAATTCCCACATTCAATCCCAATTCCCAATTCCCATATTCACAGGCTTCAGAGAGTTTTGAGGCCATCATATTCTGCCTCCACATAGAGATCTCAAATCCAACAAATTCCTTTTCTTGGCACTAAAACCATGAACACACTAAGCCACAAAGGTGTCACAATAGTACTAGCAACAGAATCACACGGATGCAGAAATGGATGACATGGACTGGCCACAAATTCAATGAAGCCACCATAGCAAGTTGGCAGAATCAGTAACCCATACACATAGCTGGGATCTACAACTGGGAAAGCATTGCTTCTCTACAAATCCAGGACAAATAGGGATCCCATTGGGAAAAGGAAACACTGGTTTGCTGAGCTCCCATTTTTTCCTTTAAACCTGAAATTTT